ACATTGCTTAGAACATGCCATATTATCTGATGATACCTCAGTGAGTCCTAGGCTGAATCCACATGGCAGAAATAATCCTATTTGACACCACTTTAACTGCCATGGCTCAATGCGATAGAATTCTGGTGCCATAACAAGCTACGATTCCCAGAATTCCATTGTGTTGAGCCATGGCAGTTTAAGTGGTGTCAAACTAGATTATTTCTGCCATGAGGATGCAGCTCTAGATTCTTTGATACAATTCTAATTATTGATAGTCTGAAATTTGAGTAGCTAACACCTGGTGGATGAGGAAATCAATAATAAATAAAATTCTAAATAAATAAACCCTCAGTATCTGCTGGGGATCTGGAACATATTTCCCCCATGGATACCAAAATCCATGGATGCTCAAGTTCCATTGTCCACAATGGTGGTGCAGCCACCCAGCCATGCTGCCACTGGGGACAACAGAACTTCACCTCCCTCCTTCCCTTCTTGTCCACTCTCCCTCTCTTTGGCCCAGTTGGCTGAGCCATGATGGCCCAGTCCTCTAAAGCCAGTCTCACTGGCAGGGGCCCTCCTTCTCTTCCTCTCCTGCCACTGACATCTGGAAATGGAGGACGTGTCTGGTCATCCTGGTTGGGTTTCCTTGGGTTGTGTGTGTTTGCGTGTGGCCAGAGCAGTCAGGGACACACCAGAGAAGGAGTGCAAGGGAAAGAAGGAGGGAGTGTGTGCAGAAGAGAGAGACAGAGGACGTTATTACACGGGGCCCAATGCAAACAAAATCCAAACGAAATCCCAACCAAAACCGGATTATTTGCCCGTGTTTGCACACGACGTCACACAGAACCCTGACAGAAAGTGGACAGAAAGTGGAAAGAACCGAGATCTTTTGAAATTCGGTTTGTTGAGGAATTGCAATTGCGCGATGAGGATCATTTCGCATTTACCGTAAGTACGATGACCAAATACGCATTGGGGAGCATTTCCCCATCATTACCCATGGTTCCCACGAGCATTACTCTGTGCATGTGCAGGAGGCTCATTTGTGCTACATTTACGGGTTTTTTTCTCTTGTGTGTGGACGTTCAATGCAGTTACTGTAAATGCGCAATGAAGGTAATGACGTTTGCGGAAACAAGGTTTATTTCCTGTTTATTTTCGGGATGCCTCATTTCCACATTATTTTCAGTTTCTGGGCCACATGTGATAACATCCAGAGAGTGAGAAAGAGAGTGCGTGCATGGCTTCCCAAGCTCTCCCTTCTTGTTGTGCATGAGAGCAGCTTGGTGGCACAAGACACCACCCTTTCCAAACCCTCTCCCAGCCCTCCTTCTCCTCCTTCACTGCCACCAGTTCCTCCTCCTCCTTCTCCGCTTCTTCCTCTGCTGCCACTTCCACTTCTTCTTCTTCTTCTTCCTCCTCCTCCTCCCCACCATGGGCTTGCCATCCGTGGATGCTTGAATCCGCAGATGGCAAGTCTGCAGATACGGAGGGCTTCCTGTAATATTTTTTGTTGCTGCCACCATCTCCTCCTCCTGCTGCTCATCCTTCTTGTTAGTATTACTCACTGCCTTTCCCTCCAAATTGAAACTTTCCCCAGGGCCTTGGTCTTCACAATTTTTCAAAAATTAATTTGCCCATCTAAGAAGCCTCACGGATCAATGATTTTGTATGGGAACAAAAAACATAATTTGGGAGAGGGGCTGGGAATTAACTCCTGTTAATTCTCCTTCAACCCCTCTCCTCTCAAAAGTGAACGTCTGGCCACTTCCAATTTTTTTTTGGGGGGGGGAGTGAAAAATTCTAAATTTTGAGGTGTTGTCCACACTGGCACCTGGGTGACAAACAGTTACTGTGACTGGTAATGGCTCCCTGGTGCTTTAGGAAAGTCTTTAAATCCATCTTCTACTGTATGGAAGGCTAGAGGGCCACACTGCACTCAAAGTCAAAAATCAAATTATTTATTTTTTTTTTTACCCCAAAGCAACCTCTATGAGACATAGGAGGACTCTCACCATGTTAGGTAGGGGAGTCTTCCTGGGCCATTTTAGATCCAAGAGAGGCCATTTGTAACAAATAATGCAGCTTGAGTCCACTTTAACTGTCCTGGCTCAGTGCTAGGGAATCATGGGAATTGTATTTTTTTTCTGGGATATTGAGCCTTCTCTGTCAGAGAGCTCTGCTGCCACAATAAACTACAGTTTCCATGACCGGGATTTCCTGCATGGCAAGGGGTTGGACTGGATGGCCCTTGTGGTCTCTTCCAACTCTACAATTCTATGATTCTATGATCCCTTAGCACTGAGCCAGGACAGTTAAAGTGGACTCAAGCTGCATTATTTCTGGCAGTCTGTAAAGTCCCGAAGTGAGCAGAAGTCTCTTTCTATTCAATTTCTGTTTCAGAAAAGGCCTTTCCTGGACTTAAAATGTCCCAAGGAGGCACAATATGGTAGAAAAGCTACCCAGACCTCCTAGAGTACATTTGGGGGCAATTTCTTTTTCATTGATCCAATGCATTGACTCTAGTTGGTACTAACAATCCTGTCAGAAAAAAAGAGATGACAATTTGATTCCCTATGTTTAAATGTTTGGATAATATTGGTTCTGCATTGGACAGATGTTAGCATACATTACTCCCATGTTTCAATCCCTGATGTGAATAAGTTTGCAAATTTGAACAAATGCTTATGAAAAATGAACTGAAGAAAACTTTTCATCCATCCTCATTTCCAAAAGTAATGATAAAAGTAATGTAATGTGTATAACATTCCAGTTTCAGTTCCTAGTTTCTCAATTAAGGGATTGCAAAAGGACTTGGAAAAGTTACTTTTTAACAACACAATTCCCCAAATCCTACAGCCAGCATCTTCATGAAACTTTTCTGAGATTTGAACAAGACAGCTGAGAAAGACCTGAGGTTTTGGAGATAATGCAAGTCAAAGTGGTTGATGCAACATTTGATTTTAAAGTTCTACAACTAACCTTTAATTCCCCATTCATATTTCCAGCATACTAGCAGGGGGGGGGGGAGAACTGCCCTCAATATTTTGTTCTTTTTCAGAACTTAGCTGTACAAACCTGACACAGATTGCACAACCAATGCACCTCATCTCCTTTCATAAGTCATGACAGTGAAAAAACAAACACTGAAGGCTTCCTCTCCTCTCCTTTCCCCTCCTTTAAATATGACCCCATCCCCAATAGCCATACTGGAAAGCAATTTTACAGCATTATGCTTGTCTAAAGACGAAGCAATAAAGAACTGAATAGGACAATTAGAAGACATCGGCAGGCTGAAAATATGGCACTGATAGAAAAGGGAGAATGGTAATTTGAGATTCCAGTATTCCATCTGCTCATACCAGAAGGATAAAAAGAAAGAGGTAGGGATTATGTGAACTAAAAGGCCAAGCAAAGGTTCATCTTACTTGTATTAAAACATCTGTGATTCAAAAAGCGATTTAATAGTTTACTGGATAACAATTACTATAAATTTTTATACTCATTTCTTTTTCTGTGTCTGCCATATCAAATACACACATTCTAATTTTTTTGTCAGGCAGTTTAAGAGGGCAAAACAATAGTGCTGTCTGTATTTCCCTTAAATTTTATTTCCCAAACACATTCACAATTAAAATGAAAGGGGAAAGGTGAGGGAATGTACACATGCTTCATAATTTTAGGCAAATGCTAATATTTTCCCCTTTCTCTGAAAAGGTCAAGAATTAACTAATGTTTAAGAAATAGGCAATTTATTTTAAAAAAATCAATAAATGGGAGAATGGAAAGACTTATTTCTCAGTTAAAACTGAAATAATTAAAATTTGACTTTCAATATGTCTGAAGAAGTTTGCTTGGGTTGCATGTGGATTTATATGAAATAAGAGAGTTTTACAGGAAGGAAGGAAGGAAGGGAGGGAGGGAGGAAGTGATTGTTCCCATTCTTCATCCAACCCCCCCCCCCCCAAGTGTTGGACATTTAAGTTGCATTGTGCATGCAGTGTACATTGTTTACCATAGTACCACAAACATCCTGCTGGCAGAAGTTGTGGTTGCGTATTTTGCTTTGTAGTTGTGCATTGCGCTGTCAATTCTGACAATGCATCTAGTTCAGAAACTCAGCCTTTGGTTGTTAAAACTCAGCAAACTTTTCATCAGTAACTATACATCCACACCACAACACCATGCTGGCTCATCACTGCTCACCACTACATATCCAATAACATTACTTTAGCATGCTATTATCTGTACTCTCACTAATTACATGGCAGGCAAAATTTATATGCAACTCCTGACAATTGCAGCTGAGCATTGATCATTGCAGTTTTGCAATGTACATTGCATATTAAACACTGCATACTGCTTGCTTCACAATAGCACCCCAGTTATTGACATGTGTTCGTACTACTGCTTTTCTGCATTGGGATCACATAGTGATAGTGTAGTGTATTTCAGCATGCAGACATTTATGGTATACTGATGGGTTTTGGATAGCAGCCAGAAAACTCCCAATGTGGATTGGTAGGGATTAATATTATTGTGCTGCATGGAGTTGTACCTCCAGGCCCTCCCCAACAAAAGGGGGTTGCAGACTGCCAGAAATAGTGCAAATTGAGTCCACTTTTAGGGTTAGGGTTAGTGCTAGGGAAGCATGGGAATTGTTTTTTTTCTGAGACATTGAGCCTTCTCTGTCAGAGAGCTCTGGTGCCACAATAAAATACAGTTCCCATGATTCCCTAACCCTAACCCTAAAAGTGGACTCAATTTGCACTATTTCTGGCAGTCTGCAACCCCCCCAAAGATAGCTTGGGGAGAACATGCTGGAACACATATTTGCTAGATTGTGGGGTGGGTGGCTGTGGCAGGAATGGAGGACTGCCACAGTCCTTTTCTGCTCCCAAGGGCCACCCAGAAACCAAACAAATCCCTTCCAAAAAGCGAGAAGCCCACATGCATATATTTTTTATGTTAAACTGTTCAAGAGGGGCCCTACGGCCTATTTAAAAAATGGTTGAGGCAGCATGGCTTAGTGGTTTAAGCATTAGACTACAACTTTGTAAACCAGGGTTTGATTCCTGGCTCAGTCACAGAAACCTACTGGGTGAGCTTGGGCAAATCACTTGATTATACAATTGATCAACTGTCCATATGCCGCATCAGTACACCCAGTGACATACCATGATCATGCTGCTCCCCTGTATATACCTCCTTTTTTTCCCTGTCCTCCCATGGCCCTCTGTTGGGCTGGCCAGTTTGTTAATTTGTTTATTAAATCCATTGTATTGTTGGTAACCTGCCATGTTTATCATACTTTCGCTCCATGGGGTGTGCAACAGTTCAATGGCAGCTGACTCATGCACTTGTGTGATTGGTTAGCAGATGAGCAATATATATATATATATATATTGTCAGTAATGGCACCAGTGATTCCCCCAGCCCCTCTCCTATTTCCACACCACCTCTCAAGTCTGCACATCAGTGCACTTTTTCTACCTTAAAATAGGATTTATTTTGCTTGCTCCTGTGTTAAGCCCTGAAGCTTGGCTTAGGTCCATTTTTATCCCCTTTCAGCCACACGCATCATCTAAACAGGCAAGTTCCTAATGGTATGAAGCCATTTCTTTTAGCTTGTGTGGACAGCCTCTAGTCCAAAACCTAAAGCACTGCACCACTCTGGCTCCAGGTCAGGCTATACTTTTTCATTTAGTCTAATACCTGGTATGATCTAGTTCCTTATCGCAGAATTAAAATTGGAAGTGTTTGTACCTTGGTGAAAGCTGGGATTTGATGAGTATTATCAATGCTCACTGATGGCTGTAAACCATTTAGCAAAAGTCAGGGGATGCAAAATGAAAAAGTGCAAAAATGCCTCACATATGCCCCTCAGATCCACAACCTGCTGACGAGACCCACATAGCTCCAAGAGGCATGCAGAAACATTTAACAGGAATGCTGCTGGCATTAATTACTGTAGGAAAACCAATGCACATGTTTGAGGCTCAGAGATTCAGCTCTGCTCTAACAGCTGAGAACATCCAGAGGTATCACCATACATTTATTTCCCTGCTAATGTGTCAGAAACAATTTTCAGCACGTGTAAAAGTGCAGATAAATATTTTAGTGCCAGTGAGAGTATTATTATTTTTAAAGAATCAGCCTCTGATTTAAAAATTGAGGTTCATAGCTCTCTTTAAATGATATACACGTTTTGTTCATGATCATTTTCAGCAAGGTATTCTATTAAATATCACTTAAAGCCATGTTCCTAGTTATATTGAGTCAGTTCACTAGAGAGCAGTGTTTTTAGTCCAGAAAACAGTTACCTTTGGAGGAATGCACTCCTAGCCATGATGGATTCTGGAATCTGTAGTCCAAAAACCAGTATTTCCAGGCTCAGTCTGGATTATTGGTTCATCTAACTCAGTCTCAACTGATCCAACTGGTAGTGGTTTGCCCAGGCCTCCAGCAGAGACCTTTCCCCAGTGGGTCCTGAAATATTTTGCTTGCAAGGCTGAGGCCTGAATCTGTGGCCATATGCATGGGAAAAGCATGTTGTAACACAGAGTATAGATCCTTTGTCATGGCAGTTATAATAACATTGCTGAGAGATTTTGAAAGAAATGGAATTCAAAAGAATTCATAAATTTCTGAAGAACATATTGCCATGGAATCACACTCCAGTGGCCACAAAAATGTTGAATTAATTTAATACCTCTTCAGCTCTCATGGTTGTAGCCTAAGGTAACCTGAAAATTGTAGTTTAGTGGGAGGGACATCAAGAACTGTAGTTCAAGGAAATGCACCAAAACAATCTAGTTATGAGTACAAGTACCTCATTCTATTACAAACCCCAGGATTCCTTAGCATCATGAACATTAAGTATGTGTGTGTATGTGTGTGTGTGTGAGTGTGTAAGAGAGAGAAAGAGAGAGAGAGAAGACAATGAGGAGGTTATCCAAAAGTATTCTGCTGTAACTTCAGACTGTGCTAAAGGTTCAGTTTGTTGTTTTCAATGCTACAGAGGGATATAAATCTTCACCTATTTCAATTATTTCATTCTGACATGTAAACATGAAAAACTCGCAAAAGATTTTTTTCCTGGCAAGGTGAGATTCTGAGATTGTTGGCATGTTTTTGAAAGATTGGTTGCATTTGAGGACTTCTTTTGTGGGGAGTGGGGAGGGAATCTGCAAAAATCTGCTAATCTGAGTAGATAATTCTCTTTTCCTGGTCAAGCACAAGGCTGCCACTCAAACTTCATAGAAACATTGCCAATCTTCCAGGACACTCAGCTCTGTGTAGCTGTTTTCTTCCTCTATATCTGTGCCTGGCTTCCTGTATTCTCAATATCTCTCACTGCCTGCATGTGCTGATGGCTACCTACATATCACTTGCCTGTATATCTCATATCAACTTTTGCATGCCTGTGTTCACTAACTACTAGTTTTTATATTGCTCTTTAAGAGATTAGGAACAGCATATGTGTGTTGTTTGGATATTTTTTCCACACCAACTTTCTTCCTACATCACGCTAACCTTAAGACACTTCCTTCTTCCACCTCTCTCCTTCATAAGACCATGTGGACTGTGTTAAACTGGATCATTTTGAGTTTGTAAATACCAATGAAGTAGACAAGCTTCATGGAAGTGTAAGGAAGACAACATGCCCTCTTGATCCTTGCCCATCATAGCTGACTGCCCAGGGAGGTGATGCAGTAAAAACATTATTATACTTTATAATCAATGCATCCTTTAGGGAGGGAAAATTTCCTTCTAACTTAAAACAAGAGGTAGTGAAACAGCTTCTGGGGAAAAAAAAACCTCTGAAAAAAACAAAACCCTCCCTTGACCCCCTGATGAAAAAAATAATTACAGGCCAGTCTCCCTTTTACCATTTCTGGGCAAAGTGATAGAGAGGGCAGTTGCCTTCCAGCTCCAGGCTGTCTTGGAAGAAGCCAATTATCTGGACCCATTTCAAACCAGCTTCAGGGTGGGATACAGAGTTGAGGCTGCCATGGTTGCCTTAGTCAATGATCTCCATCTGGAAATTGACAGGGGAAATGTGACCCTGTTGGTGCTCTTGAACATCTCAGCGGCATTCAATACCATTGACCATGGTATCCTTCTGGAACACCTGAGGGAGTTAGGCATTGGGGGCACTGCACTTCAATGTCTCCAATCCTACCTCTTGGGCAGATTCCAGATGGTGATGCTGGGAGATAGTTGCTCTTCCAAAAGAGAGCTGACATCTGGTGTCCAACAGGGCACGATTCTATCCCTCATGCTGTTTAACATTTACATGAAGCCGCTGGGGGAGATCATTCGGAGACATGGAGCATGGTGTTATCAGTATGTTGATGACATCCAAATCTATTTCTCTATGTCTCCTACTGTTGCAATGACTAAGGTTGGCATCTCTCCTCTGGATGCCTGCCTTGGGTCAGTAATGGGCTGGATGAGAGAAAACAAACTCAAGTTGAATCCAGAAAAAATGGAGGTACTCATGACAGGTACCCCAAGTCCCCTGAAGGACAAAGTTCACAATTTGGGAGTACTCCTGGACTCACCTCTACAGTTGTCATCTCAAGTACATGTTGTGGCCAGGAGTGCTTGGTACCAAGTTTGGTTGATACGCCAACTGCGTCCCTACCTGGACTGAAAGGACCTTGAAGCAGTAGTACTTGCACTGATAATCTCTTGTTTAGATTTTTGCAAGGCGCTCTACATGGGGCTACCTCTGTACCAAGTTTGGAAGCTTCAGTTGATTCAAAACGCGGCAGCCAGATTGGTCACCAGAACATCTAAGTCAGACCATATAACACCTGTATTAAAATCTCTTAATTGGCTGCCAATTAGCTTCTGGGTGCAGTACAAAGTGTTGGTTATTACCTTTAAAGCCCTACGTGGCTTGGGCCCGAGTTACTTGAAGGAACGCCTCTCCCCACACAATCTGCCCCACACTCTCAGAACATCTGCAACAAACCTACTAGAATATCATAAGACCAAGTTGAACACAACTTCCCACAGATCATTCACAGCTGCAGTCCACAAGTTGTGGAACAGCCTACTAGAAGAGATCCATCACTACCTTAGATGCCTTTAAGAAGGCACTTAAGATGGATCTCTTCTGGCAGGCCTATCCACCTAATCTCTTATAGTAGACTTTAAGTTAAAATAAACTATTTCTGATTGATTGTATGGTTTTTGGGGGGTGTTTTGATGATGACTGGCTATTTTATTAATTTATTAATAATGTTAATATTTTATTGATTGTATTTTTGTATTTGTATCATATTTTATTGATGTAATCCAGCCTCGATCCATAGAGAGAGGTGGGAAATATAAATAAATATTATTATTATTATTATTATTATTATTATTATTATTATTATTATTATTATGTCTGTTTATGAGCAAGTACTGCAATTAAAGCTACTTTTCTATGTTTGGCAAAGAACCCTAAGCATATGGTTTTTTTTACTCCTAGACCCTGAGGGGGGTAGGGATTGACACGGGGCTGGCTACTGTCCAGCTTCTGTCCTGCCAATTTGATTACCTTGCTTCAAAGATCCAGAAATTTCTCGTACATTTTCTAACACTTCTCATCTCTGCTATAGGTTGAGTCTCCCTTATCTAGAATTTGTTGTTGTTATTAGATGCCCTCAAATCAATTCCATCTCATGGCAACCCTGTGGATGAGACATTTCCAAGAATCCCTATCTTCCACTGTCTTGCTCATTTTATGCAAGCTCTTGCCTAGGGGTCGGCAACCTACGGCCCCTGGGCCGGTTCTGGCCCAGGTCGCCAAACTTACTGACCCAGGCGGATCCTTGCTGCCGCCGCTGCCGCCATGCATTTTTGCCTCCGTGCGGCCGCGCGCGCTGCATCCGCCATTTTGATTTCCAAAATAGCGGCTGCGACACATTTGCACATGCGCAGGTTGGAAATCAAACTTTTGGAAATCAGTTTTGGAAATCAAAATGGCGGCCGCAACTCATTTGTGCATGCGCAGTACTCCTGTGCATGCACAAATGCATCGCAGCTGCCCTTTTGGAAATCAAAATGGCGCCTGCAATATGCGCGGCGG